CATAGGGGTCCGAAGTTTTGAAAATTGGGGGAAGTAGGTCATGAGTACACTCGTTTTAAAGCTCTTTACGTAGGGAAGTGGGAAAATCAAGTTTTTATGCAAAAATATTGCGAAACAAGAAATTTTTTTTTCTGAAATTTTTAGTTTTCATCATAACTTTCTTAACTTACCGAATTTTAACATAATTCATTGATTTCTCAATTTGCCGTGCCAAGAGCTTCAAAATGAGTATGGACACGACTAGGCTCCGCCCATTTTGGCTTTTCACTTTAAAGGCGCATAGGAGTCCCGAAAATTTGAAAATTGGGGAAAGTAGGTCATGATTATACTCATTCTGAAGCTGAAAACGCGACAAATTAGAGGATGTATTTTCAGAACGCAATTCTTAAAATTGACCGAGTTATGATATAAACAAAATTTACCACTAATTCAAATTATATTTAGCCAAAACCCTGCTCATTCTCAACATTTCCTGAGTTATAGTTTATTTTTGAATTTATCACGTTTCCAGCTTCAAAATGAGTATAATCATGACCTACTTTCCCCAATTTTCAAATTTTCGGGACTCCTTTGCGCCTTTAAAGTGAAAAAAACAAAGTGGGCGGAGCCTAGTCGTGTTTATGCTCATTTTAAAGCTCTTGGCACGGCAAATTTAGAAATCAATGAAATATGTTAAAACTCTGTAAGTTAAGAAAGTTATGATAAAAACTAAAAATTGGAGAAAATTTTTTAAAATCTTGTTTTCACCATAACTTTCTTGTTTCGCCATATTTTTGCATAAAAACTCGATTTTCCTACATTCCTACGTCTAGAACTTCAAAATGAGTATAATCATGACCTACTTTCCTAGATTTTCAAAATCCGGACCCCCTATGCGCCTTTAAAGTCGGAATTTCGAAATTAAAGGAACATAGTCATGAGTATACTCATTTTGAAGCTCTAGGTGTAGGAAATTCGAAAATGTTAGTTTTTCCCGATTTGGATAAAAACTACAAAAGTTAGAAGAAAAAAACAAACATCGTTTCGAAAATTTGTGTGAAACACTATTTTTGTAAACATTGACAAAGGAAGGCAAACTTAGACTCTGTGTGTGTGTTTAATGTTTTAATGTTCTTTTGAATTTTTTTTTTTGGAAAAAAACAAAAAAAGAAAAAAAGAAATGTGAGAATTTTCCCTTAGAATATCAAATCTCCTCCAGCAACCGCCACTTTTTTTTCGCTTTTCTCGGGAATTTTCGAAAAAATAAAAATTTTTTTTGAAATTTTTTTTCCTTGTTTTCTAGAAAAATTGGCTTTGTTATTTCAAGTTTTTTTCCCTATAATTTTCTCTTTTTTCCGCTGAAATAGGCGGAAAAAAAGAAGAAAATTTTCTTCTTTTTTTGGTTTTTTCCCAAAAAAAAAAAGAAGAAGAAATTCGATAATGTTCTTCTTCTTTCTTGTCTTTTTTTCTCCCTTTTTTCCCTTTTTTTGGAATTTCTGAATAGGTCCCATGGGCCGGGAAGAGAGTTGGAAATTTCGAAATTTTTCGAAAATAATTTTTTTTGAAAATTTATTTTTTTTTGAAAAAATATTCCTGGAAATTCCAGCACCTGTCTCATCAATTTTCTATCAATTTTCAAAAAAAAAAATGTTGAAAAAAATTTTTTTTCGAAAAATGTTTTTTCTTATCAATTTATATGATTTTCCTCCCCCTATCACACCGCCCCATTCTTTGTGTGTGTCTCTTTTTGATGCTATATAGAAAGCAGAAAAAAGAACAACTGTACTTTAATTTTTGATATTTTTGCAAAAATGTATTTTTTGAAAAAAATCGAAAATTTTTCGTTTTTTCTGCTTTTTTAGTGTTAAATTCTGAAAATACTTTGAATTTTATTAATTTTTCAAGCATATTCTTAGAAAAATTTCCCATAAAAGTAGCTGAAAATTCAAATTTTTTCGATTTTTCGATTTTCCTTTTTTATCGATTTTCAGCATTCTTTCCGTTTCTTTTCTATTAAAATCGATTTTTTTGCATCTTTAAAATTTTTTCCAGTGTAGATATTTATCAAAATCCATAAAATCCCATCTGAAAATGCCTGAAAACCACCTAATAATTCCCGGAAATTGATTAAAAAATCGCAAGTCGTCAAGTCTGGCGCATTGCGGTCCGCAATGCGGTGTTTCACACGACTTAAAAACCACCGTATCCTTCCCTTTTTGGTTGATTTTTAGCTCGTTTTTTTCTAGTTTTTTAGCTTAAAAACGACTTTTTAGACTAAAATTCAACAAAAATCACAAAAAATCTCAATTTTCTCGATAAAAAACTCTTAAAAATGTAAAAAATTCGAATATTTCGAAAAAATTTTATTTTCAATTTTCAGGGTTAAAATGAAGTTTGACGACTTCCTATTCACCTATCTAGGTGAAATGGGAAAATATCAGAAAATTCAATTTTTGCTAGTTTGCCTGCCCACAATTGTTGTGTCAATGCACGCACTGTCATGGACATTTGCTTCGGTAGACACACCGTACAGGTACAGTAATCCCATTGGGATTTTTTCTCGAATTTTTGAATTTCCCGCCTTCCTAGATCCATCTAAAAAATGAAAAAAAAATGAAAAAAAAAATTTTTTCAAATTTTTTTGAAATTTTTTGAAAATTTCAAACATTTTGAATTTCCCGCCGGATCACACCAATAAAAAAATTTTCAGATGCCGTTTACCCTCCGATTTGCCTGAAAAAGAGCCCTACTACACGGATCTCCTAAATTTCACAAAATGTACCAACGAAGCAGACGGAAATGTACCAATTTCGGAATATGGAAAACCTGAGATTACTGTATGTGCCGATTTGGCGGAAATTTGAAAATTCAAAATTTCAAAAAATCTAATTTCAGTGCCACTACGATCGATGCCAACTTCCGAATAATAGTACATGTGCCAAACATATTTTCGATCATTCTAAGGTTGAATACACTGCTGTGCAGAGGGTGAGTGTTTGGTAGAGCGAGTTTACAAAAATTCAAATTTTGAAATTTTGAAAAAAAAATTTTCGAAATTTTTTTTTGAGATTTTTGAAATTTTTAAAAAAGTTTCTAGACCCAAATTTTGTGCTTTTTCTGAATTTAACACTGAAAAATTCGAAAATCGCTTCAAAAACTGGAAAATTAAAAAAAAAATTTTTTTGAAAATTTCAAAATTTTCCAAATTTTCCATTATTTTTGAGTTTCACCCCCACTAATTTTACAATTTTCAGTGGGAAATCACCTGTGATCGCTCGTGGATCAAGGCCACCATTCAAGCAGCCTACTACGTTGGCCAAATGGCCGGATCAATGACATTTGGAGTGCTCGGAGATCGAATTGGAAGAAAAAAAGTGTTCTTCCTGGCGATTTTGATCCAAATCACATGCGCCTATCTCATCGCATTCGCCCCTTACTGGTGGTTATATGCAATCGCCAGAGCTGGAACTGGCTTCTCTCATCCTGGAATATTTGTGATTGCCGTGGTGATTGGCATGGAATTAGTGGGGCCACAGTACCGAAAATTGGCTTCTGTCATCACTGGACTCTTTTTTGCACTTGGGCAGGTATGTACGAAAAAGAAAAAAAACAAAAAAAAATTATGCGTTCGGGGGGAATCGAACCCCCGTCGAATGCTTGGAAGGCATCCATGCTGACCATTACACCACGAACGCGCAGTGAGAGAGAAGGGGGGAAACGCGTAGATAAAGCGAGGGCGTGGCAGAGAGACGCAGAGAAAGGAGAGAGAGAGTGTGGAGGAGGGAGAGACGCAGAGTATGATTTTCGGTTTTTCGGCCATTTTCAGCGACTTTGAGTCATTTTTTCTCAATTTTTAAAGGTTTTTTCCAGGTCTTCCTTGGAATCGAAGCGATCTTCCTCACCAACTATCAAATCCTGCACATTGTCATCGCCTCGCCAGCCCTCCTCTTCCTGTCCTACTGGTGGCTGGTCCCAGAATCCGCACGATGGCTTGTATCCCAGAAACGATTCAAAGAAGCCGATGAGGTCCTCCAGAAAGCCGCAAAAGTCAACGGAGCAGTGTTGCCGGAGAATTGGTGGGAGCAATTGGATGATTCAACGACTACTACAACCTCTGAAAATGGTCCGGCAAGAAAACTAACTGGAGCGGATTTGTTTAAAACTCCGGAACTCCGAAAAAGAACTCTTGTGGTCTTCTTCCTTTGGCCTGTTATATCAATGGTTTATTATGGGATGGCAATGAAAGCAAATGTGCTCGGTGGAGATATTTATGTCAATTTCATTTTCGCTGCCTCCGTCGAGATCCCTGCACTATTCATTGTCTATCTCCTCATTGATAGAATCGGAAGACGGTATATCCTTGCTGGAGGTCTTTTTATCGCTGGAGCTTGCCTTTTGATCAATTGGATTATGGGAGATAATGTGCAATTATGGATGGCGATCACCCAGATGGCAGTCACTAAAGGATCGATCACTGGAGTCTACGCTGCGGTTTATACCTATTCTCCTGAACTATTTCCAACTGTTATTCGAAATACTGCAATGGGATTCTGCTCGACGATTGCCAGGGTTGGAGCCATTGCTGCTAGCTACATCTCGATGTGGATTGCTGAGCAGTTTGGAAAGGTCTTCATGATTATTCCATTTGGGATCATGGCGGTGTCTGCTGCAATTCTGACGCTTGTGTTTTTGCCGGAGACTATGGGAAAACCACTGCCAGAGAGTATTGAGGAGATTGAGGAAGGATCATCGTACCGCAGTTCACATGAGATGCAGCCGCTTTCAAAGTCTACTGAAGAAACCGCATAAAATTTTTAATTTTATCTCATAATTGCCTAATTATTCTCCTTTTTCCACTGGACCATTTTTCTAGCCAAAAGAGCTTCACTTATTTTTTTTTCTCATGTTGTCGGTAATAAAGAGTATTTAAATTTTTCATCAGCCATCTAAAAGTAAAATTTTATTCATTCGTTAATCGCGGTTTTTCTTGGATTCAGGGGGGAGGAGTTGATGATAAAAGAGATAAATACAAAAGACGGTGGCTAGTCGAAAGATTTTATTCGAACTAATAAATTTACTGAGGTTGAAGAAACCGCCGCCGCCCGCTTTCTTGTATGAGAAGAATTTAGACGATGAGGGCCCTCCGCCCCCTTTTAGAAAAAAAAAACAATCGGCTATAAAACAGAGCATTTAGAGAGCGAACAAGATCATGAAACCCATAGTCAAGCAGAACAGTCCCATGGCCTCAGAAAGAGCGAATCCGAGGATAGCGTACGAGAAGAGCTGTTGCTTGAGAGATGGGTTACGGGCGTATCCGATGACGAGGGCTCCGAAAACGTTTCCGATACCAGCTCCAGATCCAGCGACTCCGACGGTGGCGGCTCCAGCTCCGATGTACTTGGCAGCAGAGTCGATGTCCTTGCGGGCAACGGTGGTGCTGATCATGCGAGCAGCGACGGCGTTCTCCATGCGGAGAGCGAGTGGAGCTCTCGAGGCCTGTAAAAATGAAGTTTGGAAGTTATGATTTTTTTTTAACTAGAAAATGTTTCTAGTCCCCCAATTTTGGATCAGCGGAGAAAACTTGATTGGAGAATCGTGGAAACCGCTTGTACACGAAATGACTCCAAGGGGCTTCCGCCAATTCTCCAAATCGTTGATCTTCCGCCACAATTATCTGAGTTCTGCAAATTTCAAACTTACGAGGAGGGAGCGGGTGAGTGGGAGAGCAAGGCGCTGGCAGTACATGGCTGGACGAAAGTTCTTTACCTGGAAAAATAATTATTTAGAAAGAAAAACTGATATTTTTCGAGAAAGAAGCGAGAAAAATCAAAAAGGCCCATTTTCATTGAAAAATTCCTCTGAAGTCGCTAAAACCAGGGTTTTATACTGAAAATGAGCAAGATTCGAGCTCAAATTTGGGATTTTCAGCGAAAAATGGGGAAAAATTGAGAGTTCTGTGATTTTTAGCGGTATTTTAGTCGGAAACGCGGAGACAAGCGATGGCCGCCCATCTACGACGGGCAGCTCTACGGGCAGCTGGTCGCAGCGGGTCTCGCCGCGACGATGAGTACGGTGGGTGGGCGGAGCGTGGCTCGTTGCCAAGATTCTCGTTATGTCACTCCGCCGATTTCATCGATTTTCAGCGTTTTTTCGGGATTTTTGAAGTTCTATAGTGAAAAAAGGTGAAAATATTTGATTTTTAGGTAAAATTTTCTTGAAAATCGCCCTAAAACCTATAAATTTCGTGTTTTTTTTCGAATTTTTGTGATTTTTCCAATTTTAAAGCTTTTTTTCAGTGAATTTTAGGTTTTAAGCACGATTTTATCAATTTTTAACAGTTTTTTGAAGGTAGAACAGCTCAAAAAAAGACCTAGAAAATGATTTTTTTGGGTTTTTTTTGAAATTTTCTTCTTTTCGCTCAATTTCCCTCCAATTTTCCTCTATTTCTATACATTTTCCCTTCAGAAATGGAGCAAAACAACGCGATCCAGTGCGATCAGGAGGTTCAACCGGCCAAAGTGTACGGAGGCATCGAGGGACCAAACTCGCAGTACGTGAAACTGGTCAGCAGTGATAATCACGAGTTTATCATCAAAAGAGAGCTCGCGCTGACGTCTGGAACGATTCGGGCCATGCTTTCCGGCCCGGGAGTGTATGCAGAGAACGAGAGCAACGTCGTCTATTTCAGAGAGATTCCATCTCATGTTCTTCAGGTGCGGAGGGCTGAACAATAGGGCTTTTCAGCGTTAAAAAGCGGTCAAAAACCTGCGAAAATCGATGTTTGAGCTCTAAAATGCTCTAAAAACCGGGAGTCTTCTCTGAAAATTGCCCAGAAGCATTGTGGCTCAAAAAATTGACCTATCAAATTTCAAAAAAATAGCGTTTTCAGACTCAAAATATAACATTTTTCACTAATAAAAAACTCCAAAACTCGATTTTTCACCTCTAAAAACCCCTATTTTTTGCAGAAAATGTGTCAATACTTTGCGTACAAAAGTTCCTAAAATGTTGAAAAATGGCGATTCTTGGGTCAAAATTAATCGAAATACTGAATTTTTAGCTGGAAAACGCTCGAAAAATTGATTTTTCAGCTTCTAATTACCCTAGAAATCATGAAAAAATAATTTTGTCTCTAGAAAAACCTTTGGAACCTTTAAAAATCGAATTTACAAGGCGAATTTTAGAAGCTCAATTTTAACCATTTTTCAGACTAAATTTTCGGAAAATGTCGCTTTTTGGGTCTAAATTAGTCAAAATACTGCATTTTTAGCTGGAAAACGCTCGGAAAATTGATTTTTCAGCTTCTAATTACCCCAGAAAGATGAAAAAATAATTTTTTCTAGCGAGAAACCTTTGGAACCTTTAAAAATCGAATTTACAAGGCGAATTTTAGAAGTTCAATTTTAACCAATTTTCAGGCTAAATTTTCGGAAAATATCGCTTTTTGGGTCTAAATTAGTCGAAAAATGGCATTTTTCGCTTGAAAAACGATGAAAAACTTGCTTTTTAGCTCTAAAACCCTTCTAATTACCCCTAATTACCCCTAATTACCTCTAAAAACCCCAATTTTTTGCAGAAAGTGTGTCAATACTTTGCGTACAAAGTGCGCTACACCCACGCCGCAACCGAGATTCCAGAATTTCCGATTCCACCAGAGGTCGCTTTGGAACTCCTCATGGCCGCCAACTTTTTGGATTGCTAGGCCATGGATATCAAATTTCGCAATATTTTGCCCATTGTGACCCCCCTTATGACTCATTTCGTGTACACTGACTCCGCCCACTGTTTCCCCCCAGTATATTTGTTCATTTCCCATCGCTTCTACACACATTTCTTATCACATTTGTCTCTTTTTTTTAGTGAAAAAAAGGACGAACTGTCCGTACAAGTTTCGAGCAAAAATCGACTGAAAATTGACTGAAAATCAATGATTTTTTGGCTCGAAAATCGTAAAAATTGATCAAAATCATCATTTTTTCGGCTAAAAATTGCGAAATTTTGAGGTTTTTTGGCTCAAAAATCGTAGGATTTTGACTGAAATTCACTGAAAATTGCGAAATTTCGATTTTTAGGGTCGATTTTACGGTAAAATTATGGAAACATTAAAGAATTTCAACTGGAAGTCCTCCAAAAAACGCTGAAAATTACGCGTTTTTTAGCTTAAATTCGCTGGAAAAATTCTAAAAAAATTGTATTTTTAGTGATTTTTAGCTTAAAAATTAGTATTTTTAGTGCTAAAAATGTGCTTTTGAGCCGAAAAATGCGTGTTTTACCTTGAAAAAAACTCGGAATTTAGCAATTTTCAGGCTGAAAAATCAAGTTTTTCGCTCAAAAAATACCTTTTTTTCATCTTTTTTTTTCACTATTTCCCCGTTTTTGTACTTTTTCTCTTCCCCCATCTTCCATCGATTTTTCCCTCATATATTTTGTACTAAATTAATTCTCAAACTATATATGTATTTTTGGTACAAAAATTTCGAAAAAATGGCCACCGATCCATTGGTTTTAATACCTATTTTGCGTTGTTTTTTTGGATATTTTAGCATGAAAAACCCGAAAAATTGCTCCAAAAATCGTAATTTTCCCTCTAAACTACCTCAAAACTACTCTAAAAATCCTCAAAAAAGCTCGAAAAATCTCAGAAATCATGGCAACAGCGCAGGTGGTTTGTGGAGAGCCAGGAGACATCAAGGATCAACCGGGACACGAGACGTACTTCGCCAAACCCGAGCACTTTTTCCCGCATCTCACCGAAGACGGGAAGATTCCGACGGCTCAATTCTTGAGCGCCTGTCAGGGCATTTCTGATTTTGTTTGTACGTGAAGAATTGGATGAAATTTGGGTCCAAAAAGTCAATTTTGGGCTGAAAATGGCTGAAATTTGGGTCTGAAACGGGCCTTTTCAGCATAAAAAGCGAGAAATTTTGAAAGATTGCCCGACAATGCAATATTTTTTAGCTGAAAATCACAATATTTTTTAAAAGTTTTTAGAGCATTTTTTGATATTAAAACCTCGAAAAGCCCTGGAATTGGCTGAAAAATTCATTTGGCGCCCATTTTCCTCTCCAAAAATCCCAAAATTGACTATTTTTTTTCGCTACAAACTTGATATTTATGTCAAAATTTCTCATTTTCCGACACCTAAAATTCATGAAAATCACTGAAAAATTCAAATTTGGCGCCTATTTTTGTCCAAAATTCGCGAAAATCCCGATTTTTAGAATGGAAAAAAGAAAAATACAGAAAATTTTGAATTTGGCGCCTATTCCTCTCTGTCTCCAAATAGCCAAAAAATCTGAAATTTCCTATTTTCCGATCCAAAATTTAGTGAAAAATTCAAATTTGGCGCCCAATTTTTGCCCGAAATCCCCCCAAAAAAATTCGCCAAATGTTACAGCGTTCCTCGGGACGACATTCACACTGGTCCGTAAGGATATTCAAGGGAACGTTGACAAAGTACGTACGAGATTCGAGAAGGATCAAGAGGGACAGAAGTACCTTCAAGACTTGATTGATGCCGATTTGGCGGAGCACGGAGGCAAATTTGGAATCGCCACCGAGGGATTACTGTGGTTGAAGAGGTGAAAATAGAGGGGTTTTTAAGGCTGAAAATTGAACTTCTGGGTGTGAAAATGGAGTTTTTACACTGAAAATAGTCATTTTAGAGCTAAAAATGATGGAGGATGAAGTCGTTGCAAAACGAATTTTTAGTCGCAAAATCTCGGAATTTTAACACAGAAATGTAGGCGTTTCAGCTGAAAATGAAGCATTTTGAAGCGGAAAATCGAGAAATTCCAGCCAAAAATAACAGTTTTAGAGCTAGAAAAGAGGAAATTTGAGGAGAAAATTGGGCGTTTTTTAGAGCTGAACTCAATTTTTAGTCGAGAAAAATCCGAATTTTGAGACTGAAAAATTGGCATTTTAGAGCTGAAAATGAGCACATTTTGAAGCGAAAATTAGTATTTTCCGAATTTTTTGTCAATTTTCAGCCGAAACCCCCCTCTCATTTTTCATTTCCAGAGGACTTCAATTCATGCTGGAACTGCTTTCCGAGATGGTCGCCGCCTATAACAATGGACAACCACATGCGAAGACGGAGGATTTGAGTGCGGCAGTGGCCACGGCCTACGCGAAATCACTCAAAAGACACCATGGATTCATTGCCAAACAGGCGTTTAAGGTACAAGAATTTTGATGGGAAATTGGGCTGAAATAGCTGAAAATAAGATAAAAATAGCTGAAAATGAAAAACAAACTAGTGAGATTGCTTTGAAAAGATGAAAATGGCTGAAAATAGACAGAAAATGAGCAAAAATAGGTCGAAATAGACAAAAAATGACTAGAAAATGAGCTAAAAATGGCTGAAAACATACTAAAAATAGACAAAATATGACTTAAAATAGACACCAAATGAGCCAAAAATGGCAGAAAATAGACCAAAAATAGCCTGAAAATCAGCTAAAAATGGCTGAAAATATGCTTAAAATGACTGGAAAATGACTTAAAATGGCTTAAAACAGCTGAAGATGACAATAAAATTACTGAATTTTTGGCTGAAATTTGGCTGAAAAAGGCTTAAAATAGACGAAAAATGACTGCAATTGAGCTAAAAATGGCTTAACAATAGCTTAAAATGAGCTAAAATAGCTGAAAATGGCTGGAAATAGACCGAAAATAGCCTGAAAATTAGCTAAAAATGACATAAAAATGGCTGAAAATCAACTAAAAACACGCCCCCATTTTCCCTGTTTTTCACTGAAAATTGTAGTCTTCTTTGGCTATTTTTTCTCTTGTTTTTTTGTAGTTTTTGTAGTCTTTTTTATCTGAAAAATTCTTGCGAAAATTCTAGAAATGCTGACGAATTTCAGCTATTTTTGCTCTAAAAAACTTGAATTTTATAGCATTTTTCGAGCTATTTTCTGTCCTAAAATTCGATTTTCAAGACAAAGGGAAATCTGAATTTATTGCATTTTTTTTGGATATTTTTAGTCTAAAAACACCCAGTTTTGGCCGAAAAATCGCGATTTTCAGCTTTTTTGAAGCCTGGCAAATACGATTTTTGAGCTTATTTTTCCGAATTTTCAACAGATTTTTTCAATTTTTGGGGGTCATTTTTCAGCCCAAAAAACTCTATTTTTGCAGGTAGTGACAATTTTTTGGGGTCATTTTTTCAGCCAAAAATCCACATTTCAAGCTATTATTCAATCATTTTTTCCATGATTTTTGAGGTCATTTTCAGTCAATTTTTAGCTAGAAAAAATGGATTTTCAGCTAATTTCATGTATTTTCAGTTAATAAAACCCCGATTTTTGGGTCTTTTTTCATCATTTTCTGTCCTAAAAATCGGAATTTTGAGCTATTTTCAACCGATTTTAGTCATTTTTTCAGCCATTTTCAGCCAATTCTCCAGCCAAAAACTTATTGTTTGCAGGTAGTGACAATGGCTGTCCCGTATCGTCATACAATCCTAAAAGCGGTCGCTCTGGGACAAGAAGGCCTCGACGACGTCTGCATTCATCATATTCAGTGTCATTTGGATAATTTCCGGCTGAATGTCAAAACTCTCGTCGATTATTACATTTCCAAGAGCCTCGATACCCCCGATCCGTAGATTTTTATCGATTTTTCGACATTTTTAGCTCTAAAATCCTCATTTTACCTACTGTTTTTTGACCATTTTTAGCTCAAAAAAGGCCTAAAATTTGAATTTTTCGCACTTTTTTTCGCCATTTTTATTGTAAAAATTCCCCATTAAAAAAAAAAGTTTTATGTGATTTTTATTTATTTTTCTCCTCCTTTTTTCAGCTGAAATTCTGAGCTATTTTCAGCCCAAATTTTCGAATTTTGACTCTCAAAAATCGATATTTTTGGCTGAAAATTAAAGATTTTATCGTTTTATATTGTATAAAAATCTTTAATTTTTCCTTTTCTTTCCATTTTTTCAAATTTCCAAAAAATACGAAAAAAAAGCGTTGAAATATTTTTTTCTTCTGTAATTTTCAGCCAAATTTTCAGCCAAATCGTCTGAAATTTCAGATTTTTTCAGCGAAAATGCCATTTCGCCTGTTTCGCACATTTTTGAATAACGAAAAGACGATTCAGCAGGTGGGAATTTTTGAAAATTTGGAAAAAAAAACATAAAACTTCAAAATTTTGAAAAAATTAGTTCGATTTTTCAACTGAAAATTCAAATTTCGCGATGTTTTTTTTGTTTGGAAAAATTCTCTATCCTCTTTTCAACGGTTTTTTGGCAGTTTTTGACCCGAAAATTCAAATTTCCCGCTCATTTTCCCCCGGGAAATGGCAAAAATTCCAATTTTCAGCTCTCGGAATCAGTTCCAGTCCGTTTGGCAGCCAAGGCGATCGTTCGCGGCATGAAACAGGTCGAATCGAGGGTCGATAAACTGGATGTTGGCAAAAAAATCGATAAATTCAAGGCGATTTACGAGGAGGAGTATCAGAAGGCAATTAAGAAGTAATTAGGCTTAATTGATTGGATTTTTTGCTTTTTTGCCATTTTTCTGTACAAAAATATTCACATTTTAGCGATTTTTGAGCTCAAAAAATCGATTTTTTTGCCATTTTTAAACTGGTTTTTTCATATGTTCTAGCTAAAAAATCAGATTTTTTCTCAAAAAATTCTTATTCACACAATAATAAAAAAAAGGACATTTTCTAAACAAAAATTTCTCTGAATAGGGGGGCCAAAAATCGATTTTCTGCTCATTGGAATCCTCCATTCTTGGGTTTGTATCCCAATTTGTGAGCAACACCTCCGTAGACTGGGCTCTCGTCGAAGGCGACCATTCTGGAGGCGTTCACGTCGCGTGGAGCTTTGGAGACCTGGAAATTTGGGAATTTTTAGGTTGGAAATGATCGAAAAATGTGATTTTCGATCTAGCCGAACCGCGACGCAGGGGGTCAAATTTCAAAGTTGACCCCGAAACTAGTCGTGTTCGGGCTTGTTTTGAAGCTCTTGTCGAGCTGAGCAATGTTTGAGAAGTTGGAATTCGAGATTTGAGAAAATCAGAAAGTTATGAGCAATTTCAGATTTTCAGAAAAACCGTTAAATTGCTCATAACTTTCTCATTTTCTGAAATTTCGATCTCCAACCAATATATTCTGCTTCTACTGAACAAAAGCTTCAAAATGAGCCCAAACACGACTAGTCTAGCTTAATTTTGAATTTTGATCTTGCCGAACCGCGACGCAACCGCTACGCATAGGTCAAAACTCAAAATTGAGGGAAACTAGTCGT